TAGGCAAGTGCTCTACCACTGAGCCACAACCCCAGCCCTCAATTTAAGTTTTTATAGGCATTTCACATGCAGGTTAAAATTATGTTACATTTGACTTAGTTCAGTACATGTTTTTCTCCTGGTGTAAGAGGTACTATAAATCTTGCAGTATAAAGTATAATAGATGGAATAACCATTTCTTAGTGTGAGAGACCATTTATTTGTTCATAGTATATATTATTTACTCATCTTCTATGTTGATCATTTTTGATGCAGTCATTTTGCCTTTCAATCCATTATTTCCAATGCTTACTGCCCTTAGATTATTTGATGGTCACTTATATTTTAACAAGTTACTGTTTTTTTTTATAGCATATTCACTTTTGGAAGCCACTGTGATGAGGATCTGATTATTTAATAAGCATTTGCTATGAGGTACAGATATTCCCTGTAAATTTTAATGTATTTGTTCACCAGATTATCTTTTCATCTAAACTTAAAAAAAATCCTCAAATTAGTAAAAAATCTTATGAAAAGTATATACTTTGAGAAACACCACATTGTCTAGTTCTGAGGGCAAAATTGTTTTGATTGGGAAGAGTTGAAAGCAATGGTAATTTGCAATATAAGACACTTCATGGTGGGATATACGAGAGGCATTACGAAGATTCTCCATGAGTCTGAGACAAGAAGAGAACCATGACAAGTGAGAACAGGGTTACAAAGGGAGCTAAAGAGTGTGGTAAACAGTATGTGTCACCAGTGTTTACACCAGTGGGTAATTCTTAATTAAATAGAAAATGTCGTCAGAGTTTGAATTCTGTATGTTAAATAGGCCAAAGACTTGAATTGTTTTCTTACACTTTTTTTTAAGGCAATTTCAATTAGGGAAAGACATACACAATGAGATCTCTATGGAAGGCTACAGCATAGATTGCAAACTAAGTTTTAACTAGAAAAAGCAAATTGAAATGGAGCCTAAGAATTATATTGGAGATTTGTAAGAGTCATTGCAAAACAAAAAGTCACTGTAATAATTATGTGAGGGTGGGGTGTAGTGAACATTTATGGTCCTCTCCAGCCCTGGGCAAAATAGACCTATGAAGAGTCATGATTTATATTAAATTAATGACATTTGTTACTCCTACTATATTCACATTTATTGTAACAGAAAACAAATGGGTTAAATAATAACTACTGTATTTCTCCTGTGTCTCTGCAAGTAATCTAGTTTGAGAATTATTTTTTTCATGCAGTGACAATCTGTGTAAAACATTGTGATAGATGTCTGGGATCCATAAACTAAGAAAGTTTTTCTACCCTTTGGTGCTATAATGTAGTTAGAGGAGCTAGACATAATTCCATCAGAAATACTTAATAATAGTTTCATAAGATATTCTCTTAGAGCTGTCCCCTCTCCCCACCAAAAGAGTAAGCTCAAGAAAGAGAGCAAGGAATTGCTTGTTTCTACTCAGATTATATATTAAAATGACCATGGAATAGTAAAACCAACCAAAAATATATAGATGCAGAGACTGCAACTCAGACTTTCTGGATCAGAATTTGAGATGGTAGAATCCATCTATTTGCTTGGTTTCAAAGCTCCATGGCTGGTTCTGATGCACATCTAGGGAGGACAAACTCACATTCAGTGTGAGGGCTGGGTTAGGGAAAGTCAGGTATGACTATTGAAAAGAATAATAATCTATAAGCTAATTTTGGAAAGATTAATAACTATTTCCCAAGAATGAAAAGCAAGGAATCTGAACCTGCTTCTCAAGGAAATAATAGTTAAGCCGTCACTTGTAGCCAGTGCATCATAAGCAGGTCTGGGGCAAGGGGACTAGAGAACTTCTCTAGAAAGTGGGTACAAGATATGAACACTACCCTGAATGAAGGAATGACATGGTCCATGAGAAAAAATGAGAGAAGGCCTAAGTATCTGGAGCACAGAGATCAAGATGACACTGGGGAACAGATGATTCTATACTGACTGTCAGGGAACTGAGCACTAAGAGCCCTGACAGCCATGGGAAGTACTGAATCTAAGAGCAGGCATTGAATGTCATGATTGGGTCTTCATTTTCATGAGGTCATGGTGACTAGTGCATGAGGAGTAAGAGATTGGAGGTGGTGAAAGTGGGAGCTGTCAAGCATTTATTGCTATTGTGGTACTCTAGGAAAGAATACATGGAAGGTTGCCCTGCAGGGTCAGTGAAAATGGAAAAAGAAACCAAACATGAAAGCTTGCACTGAGGGGGCAGTGGAATTGAAGAAAATTGTCTGAATTTGAAAGATATTAACAAACTAAAATGAAGAACCTATAATACAGCCAGGAGGGGTAGTACTAAAATCAGCAACTCTCACTTATGTCATGGCTTTCTTCCTGTGTTCTCAAAACTGAACTAAAAATGGACTGTTAATATGAATGTTAGTTAAGGTACAGCCAGTGCGTAAATGTATGTGTGTGCATGTGCATGTGCGTGTGTGTGTGTGTGTGTGTGTGTGTATGTGTATGTGATACACACATCTTTTGGAATTGCATTAGAAATGCAAAACTGGGAAAAATTGTCAAACAGAAAGTAAAGGAGCTTTATAAAGTAGATCATCTAAATAATAAAATTATCAAAAAGGGAGCTTTAAAAGTTAAGAGCTAATGCAGTCACTTAAGGACAAGTATGATTCCCCTCCTTTAGGTGACTGTGCCAGCCCACAGTTCCTGCAGAAATCCTAGGGTTTGATCTAACTTACTGAGGAACTAGAATATATGGCATGCCTTGTTTTTAAACTAACCATGATGTTTAATTCTTGATGTAGTTTATCTTATTTGATCTTAATATTTTCCTTTTGGTATCAGAAAGATCCTACAGAAGAAGAAACCATTCTCAAGAAGATTTGATGGCTTGTCCAAGGCCAGGCCTTGCATAGTTATGTTTCATGTTACTTAATTTGATTTGGATTTATTTGATAATAGCAATCATATCTCAAGTTGTGGGTTTATCTTATTGTTTGAATACTTCGAACAAGTTTTGCTTGCAGCATTAATCAAAGACAAAGGCCTGAGAAGGGTCATAAACTGCAGACAATTCAACATGAGGCAACCAAGGGAAGGGACAAATGAGATGTTCACATTGGTGACAAGGCAAAATCAAGGAAGAGATTTTCTGGGAAACACACTTAGAATTTTAATAGAACAGGAAAGAAAATGTTCTGAAACATCTTTGAAGGAAATGAGTAATTGGGGAGAAAATTCAATCATAGGAAGATGAGAGAATCAGCTCAAGTTGAGACTTAAAAGGCAGTGAATGCTCAGACTAAACCCCGATGAATTCTTTGAATTTAGATCAGTGCCTTTTAAGGGGTGGTGATCAGTTTTCCATGCAAAGATCCTATCTGTAGGTCTTGTTGCGTTGGGGTGAAAATGGTCAGGGCCTCTTCTTGCTGATTTAAGGGGAAGGTGAAATACTCCTACCTTCTGAATGAGTAGCAGGAATTGTCTCAGAAAAAGACTTCCTAATAATTTCTTGGGCTGTAACTTATTTGCTATAGTAACTAGAAGTGATGATTAGTGGAGAGGAAAAGGAAGAGAGTGGTGCTCAGTCTGTAATCTACCAACTGGGTGTTGAAATAAATCACACAGATAAATTTCCAGAGAGCTGGAGCACAGCAGTCAGAAATACTAAAGCAACTGTAGCAAAAAGAATATGAGTGAAGGGTTCTAGGGAGGATATATATCCTCTCATAGACAAAGTTTTAGAATTAGGAGAAATTATTCATATATTTTATTGTCATTTTGCAATGAGGAGTTCCAGCTTCAAGCGAATTGACTTGATAAAATTTCACACATTTAAGGCAGACAAACAAACCCCTTCTGTGCTCAAAAACCTCCTCTGGTTATTGTGTCCCTGTACACATATTTAAAGTCAAAATAGAGTAGTTTTAGGGGCCTGATCTTTCACAATCTGGTCTCAAACTTTGTTTTTAATCTACCCCTACCTGCTGTTCTCTGGATGAACAGAGATAGACTGTTCTGGAGAAACATCATGGCACAATGGTTAAAATGTGTTAACTCCAGGAGTAGAAAGTACTGATTTAAATCCTGCATCTGGTTTCCTAGTGTGTAAAGTAAGGATAACACTGATCAATCACATAGGGTCACTAAGCTATTTAAACTACCTTTATGTCACTGAAATCAGCATTTAAATTTAAAAAGCAGTATCATAGCATTTTTTTTGTGTGTGATATTTCATTTTTCTTGAGTACCTGGAGTACAGGGGAGACCCAGCTGTACAGCAGCACATGGTCCTGCCACTGAGTAGTTCACCATGTAGTGAGGAAAACAGAGGCACAGACATTGACAGTATAGCATGGCATACACTGTGTAAAGGTGGACCAGGAGAGAATTAGACAGGCATCAACACAGCTGGGGGAGCAGCGGGCCAAGATTCCCAATAGGAGTGGGATCTCACTGGAGGATCAGAAGTCAGGCAAGTGATTCAGAGAGCAAGTTCACTTCACATAAAGGGAATGGCATGTGGGAAAACAGGTTTGAGCAGGCAGTTCATGTATGGAAAATGGTGTCATATCCACAGACCTTGAATGTGGCATGATATGGCAACAAGGAAACTTGGGAGATTAAAGTAGATTTGTACTCCTTAGATAAAGACCTCATGGAGTAAGCCAGCAGTTCTGATTTTACCCTCCTTTTAGGCAACTATAAAGGATTTTAAACAGGGAATGGTATGTTTGTATTTGTGTCTTTGACAGATAAGTCTGACTGCATGTCCATGATTGTATGTCTTAAATTATGTTTCTGCTAATATTTAATTTGGAAGTTGAAATAACATTCTCCCCCTTTTATTAATGTTGCTCCATTGGCTAGTTGGGGATGAATATATGTTATCAAAGTGTTGCCATCAGGTATGCTAATGTATGTTTGTATGTGAGTTTTATGAAGTACATGGACGATTACATGAAAAATCAGAATTTGAATTACCTCATTTTTAATTTATTCTTTTAAGGTCTGACAGCAGCAGCTGCAGCAGCTGCCGCTGCTACCAATGCAGCTATTGCCGAAGCAATGAAGGTGAAAAAAATCAAATTAGAAGCTATGAGCAACTATCATGCCAGTAATAACCAACATGGAGCAGATTCTGAAAATGGGGACATGAATTCAAGTGTCGGTAAGTTTCATGTTCACTAAAACTGATCATAATCACTTTGCTATGCAATTACTTCCCTAGAACAAAAGTATTTGCTACTCTTTAAAAAAAAATTGTTACATTCAGTTTGAAAACTTTGCATATTTTGAAGATACCATTTTTCTTTCTGAAAACACGCACTCAGAGTAAGTAAGTAGTTACCAATATTATCATATTATAGTACCAACTTTATGTCTGTAGCTTTTACAATAAATATTCAATTAACATCTTGTAATGCAAATAAATTTTAATAATCAGAATTCTAAAATATTGACTATGGGTTAAGTTGACAAATATAACTGCTACACTGTATGTTTTCATTCTTTTAATGTATTTTTTTTAACAAGTAAGAAATGCACTACCATTATCAGCAAAAGAAGCAGTACTCCTCCTCTAATTTATAGGGAATGCATTCCAAGACCACAAGGGATGTCTAACACTAGGGATTAGCATTGAACTCCATATAATTACTATGTTATATACATATCTATGATAAAGTTTGTTATAAATGAGGCACAGTAAGAGATTAACAACAACAACTAATAATAAAATAGAACAATTTTAACAATGTATTGTGTTAAAACTTATCTAACACTTATCAATTATGTATTTCTGGAACTTTTCCATTTAATGCTTTCAAACCTGAGTTGACATAGATAACTGAAATAACAAAAACAAAATCATGTATGGGAAGTCTACCATAAACTTAATTTCTCCATGTGCTGCAGAGAATAAGGATTATTTTGAATAATTCTTTCTATACAAAACCATTGCCAAAGTCTTCTTCCTTTAAACACTACAACTTTAATTTTTCTTGACATTTTTTTCTTTTCCTGCCATATGAGGAAAAGGAAATGAAAATTAACTGCCACAAGTAAACTAAATAAAAGATTAACTTTTGTAGCATATTCGTTTGGGTAATTTGTTTTGTCAAACACAACCTCAAAGGTGGGTTAATTTTGTGATTAATGAAATCTCTAGCATCTGGCTATTGATATAGTAAAACATTTTATTCTGTCACTGAACTGTGTTTTTTTTCTTTAAAATAAAGAAACCATGCTCAAAATATAATTTTAAAAAGGGAAATTTGGATTCTAAAAGATGTGTGCAAGATACCATATATAACATTTGCTCATAACAAATACAAAAATTCATGATAATTCAATTGTCTTTTCTATGCAGCATTTTAACAGATTATTTTGTAAGTAATCAGTAGCTCTTTCTGCTTTCAGTCCACTAAGACGTAGATAAGAGACTGGGGATGTAGCTCAGTGATAGAGCATTTTGCCTGGCATGTGTGAGGCCCTGTGTTTGATCCCCAGCACTACAAAACAATAATAATGAGGAGGAGGAGGATAATAATGATATAAAAAGAAAATAAAACAAAGGCACATTCAAAATTGTTTACAGAAGTATTATGGGCTTTCCTAATCATTGTTTTCACTACAGTTCCGAGAAACATACACCAGATATGAATTGTAGAATAGGCAATAATTTTGAAATACATACACAGAGTACAAAGTGTATCACTGATGCTTCTGTGATGATAAAGGGCAGCTTTCAAGTGTTAAAAGGGGAAACAGAACTTTTCGGTAGAACCTCATGAGGGATATTTAAAATGACTGGCAGCAATGGTTTGCATTGAGAGTAGGTGGTGGAGGCAATTCTAGGAAAGGTGAAAACATGGAAGGTAACCCAAACAGAGGACTCCAAGCTGAAAGGCACTAAGGGAAATACCACTGCTCACATTGACAATGACATTTAAAGCAAAATTTGTTAAAACGTGTTACACTTGAATTTTCCTGAGCAACACAGCTTTGGAGAACTGACAGACATAAGAGAAGGGGAATATGACCTATTAGTAAGCATTAATATATAATTAATATTTGATAGCATTTAATAACATTTTCCTACTAATCAAGTTGTATCTTACTGTAATTATTTTGGTACATAGGTTGTAATAATGGTTTAAAATATAAATAATTTTAATTTCTCTTTGTATTTTAGTTGGAACAAATCACTTGTCTTCCATTAAGGTATTTAGTTTTGGTAATTTATACTGCTTTTGGACATTTACCATTCAACATTGAACGAGCAGCAGAAATTTTCTTGAATTTTCCTAGATTTTAATATTTTGAGATTTGTTAACATTGGTGCCATTTCTAGTCCCCAAGATATGTAGGTGATTTGTATTGTAGGTATCTTTTACTGATTTTGGGGGTGGTTATCATTGTCATTTTCATTCCATTCTCATGTGCCGCATGAGATATAATTTATAATCTAATCCTTCATGATCACCTCCATCCCTAGACATTTACCTGTAGAGTGAGGGAAGTAAGTGTGGGAGAAAGGAGGGGGATTGGAAAGAGCAATGGTGAAGGTGGGAGTTGAGCTTGCAGATATAAGAGCATTGGCTGAATTTAATAATTTTATTTGGCCCCAGACATCTCTATTTAGAGGATAATGCATGGCTCTTGATGTTTAATAATGAATTTCTCTGTGACTTTGGAAAGTTATGTAAACATTTTGAGCCTAACATTCTACATCTGGAAAACAGTATAAATAGTGGTGTCTACATCATGAGAAGTAAAATATGTGTCTAGAATTATCACATTATTTAGTACAAGGTCCACTTATCACATTGGTTGGAGTCTTGGTATTGCTTTTGATATTACTATGTCTCTGAATTTTCCCTTCTGAGAACTTCCTTTCTCTTTTTACTGCCATCAATTGCTTCCTCCTTTGTTTTCTTCTTCCCTCTGCTAGGTATTACTTAAGTTACAGACCTTGTGAGAGAATTGGAGGGCAGGCTTTATATCATTTGGGTTTTGTTGTATATTTGATTTTAGCTCATTGTAAGAATATAAAAATGATGTAATGCAGGCCCAGAACTCAAAGGGCATATACTGTCTTGGCAAGATGGATTAATAGGCAGTTATAACAAGACATGGTGGCTCTTCCAGGAGAATCAGTTATCAGGACATGGTAAGGAAGTGATATTGAAGAATATGAATTCTAGAAGGAATTCCAAGACTCTTCAAATCCTCCATGTCAGTGTAGAGACTTACTGCTCTCGTGAATCCATCAATTGGTTCTTTGAAGTAGTGAAGCCCTTCACAGAGGTGCTACCTTAAATGATGTATCCTTGCTACTCAGTCTTGCCCAAATCCAGTGACATTTTTGAAGTCAAGTCAGTCTTCTTTTTACTTCTTGTTCTCATCTGGCTCACAAGTTCTGTCAAACCTTTTGGTCTTTCTTTTGTAGGAGCACTTTTTTTTGTTTGTTTTTGTTTTTTTCCCTTGGTTGTAAATAAAACCTTATAGTCCCAAGAAATAGATTTTGTTTTTGCTTGGTTTGGTTTGATTTGGCTTGGTGAGGTGACAGCAAAATTTCATTATAGATGACCCTTTCCAGTTCATAATATGAATCTTCAAAATTAGCCCCAAAAGGATGTGTAAAGAAACCTTTGACACTGACAAATAATTATTTTATACCCCAATTTTACATCATAACCTTGAGCTCAGATCTTTCCAACAGAAAGATCACTTTAAGAAGAAGTGAGGACCTCAGGATAAGACCTGAGTGAGGCATCAGCATGCTGAGTAAAATATATGGCCATGTCGCCATTCTCCCTCATCCACAATCAATTGGATTCTTTTAGTTTAATATTTACTTGCTAAGATGAGATGCTAGTCTGCATGGTGATAAACAGTCTGCTCCTGGCATCTGAAGGTGACCTGTCAGTTCATATGGACAAATCTCCTGCTTACTGAAATGTACAAAATAAATCATTAAAGCAGGCAGGTGCTCATTCCCAGATTTAAATCACCATAGATTTATGATTTGAATTAATGCTTCATTTGGCCATAGAAATAGATGCTGAGACAAATGATATGCACTGGTTGGGGTTTCCATACTGTAGCCATCCTGATATTGATTACTGAGATGTCTTAGCAATCTCTTGTTTATATCAAGTACTATCTTGTGACAGGTTGGCTGATATGAGCTACATTGCAGATAAGAAGGAAAAATGTCCTGGATTCTTTTTAGTGGCAACACTATCCACAACATACAGGCCAGATAAATTGCTATTTTTTTGCTTTAAGGACTGATCTGCATAACCAGCTTAAAAAATGCTGCTTGGAAATTGAAACTGGGATATTGCAAAAACAGAATTTAAAACCAGTGAACCCAAGGTCAATTTGATAGTTTCTATAACTATGTTTTATCTGTTTATCCTTTCTTTGGCATTATGCACATTTTTGAGGATACTGAATTAATCACAATTGGCTTAGTCTAAATAAAGGAAACTTAATTTTACTTCTAGTTTTTAAATGTTTTATAAATATTGACATAGTAAGCATCTCTTAAAGTATCTATGTTATTTAAATACTTGCTGAACCTAGTGTCTTACTCCCCTCGCTAAAGACAACAAAGGAAATAAACCTTTTAAAAATGCATTAAATATTATTCCCAAATGTAAAGTTTTGTGAACCATAATTTACTAAGAGGCAGGAAAAGCCTGCATTTGTACTTATCTTAACATTTTATTTAAGGAAAACACTATTTACACAGTTTAAAAAATACTCAGAGGATTTGAGAGGGATCTTTGCCCCTAGCTAATATCTGACTCATAGAACTGGTAAACAGCTATCAACAATAGTAGATTGCTTGCTTTGTAGGAAATGAGTTCATATCTATTCAAAATGTGATCTCAAAACAGATGTCCCAAGAAAATCTCATTGTTTAAACTACAGTCATAACCCCCTAACTGCTGTTATTTCTTTAAGGAAGTGAAGTAATCCTAAGACTTTAATATTTTGTCTTTCTGAACACTTTGAAACATAGGCAAGCAAATGCTAATGAAGTGATCTACAAACCTGGACACATTTCCCATGCCCCAAATATATGATTCTTTTTCATTTTTCTCAAACTTGAAAGAAGAATTAGCAGGATGTAGGAGTTTCAGGCAAAAATAACTT